GAGGACTTCCCGAACCCCTTCGGCGAAGACCTCAAGGGCAAGAACACGGCCATCGTCGACGAGGTCCGCGTAGCGGCAGCGCTCCCGCCGGGCGAGTACGTCGTCGGCTTCCGCTGGGACTGCGAAACCTCATCCAGGTCTGGAGCTCGTGCGCGGACGTCACCGTCGTCGCCTAGCCGCCCCCCCCCCCCCCCCTCCGCGCGGAACACCCGGGGGCGCGGCGCCTCCCGGTCGATCTCGCCACTCCACGGCGATCATAAGTGCGACCATCGTCGAGCGCGCACCGCGTTCCCCGACGTAATACATGTGTACAGCCCCCGTCCAAGCTGCGTGTCTCTCGCGACCGGCAACCTGGGCTCGAGAGCAGTCACACTTGCGGTCCCAACGAGGCCTCTAACGGTTATGTGTAGTTCTACTTAAGTGTGTCTACGTACGATCATCAGTCATATCGGCGTGAACTTGCTGATGCGAGTTTCTAATGCCGCACTTGCAGTCCTTGCAGCTAATTTTTTCCCCGAGTCCTCAATGGATGAGCAACGTTCACACACGGTGGTTGCATTGTTGCCTCACCGAGTGGCCCTGAGCAATCTATTGTTGCACCATTGACAAGTCTACGTAGGGCACCTGCTCGTGGTAGCCGGGCGCGGGGCTGCGTGCCGCGCCGCCGGGGCCGAACCCGAGTCGCCGCGGCATGTGCGAGGCGCGCTAGGGCCATGGAGTCCACATCTTCCGGCCGCGCCGGCGACGACGCCGATGACGGCGCGGCGCCCGGGAGCGGTCGCCGAACGGACGGCGCGGAGCCCGGCGACGGCGAGGCGCCGACGCGCGCGCCGTCGCCGTCGCCGTCGCCGGGGACGGAGACAGCGACGAAGCGGCCCCGCGGCGACGAGGCGCCCGCCGAGGGCCGGCAGAAGCGCCGCGCGAGCCCCCAGGCGTCACGCGCGGCGGACGAGCCCGTGCACTCGCAGTCGCGCGGCGCGCGGCCGCGAGACGCCCGCGTCCCGCGACCGCATCCCGCGCGACCGCATCCCGCGCGTCCCGGGCCGCGCGACCGCGGGGCCGCGCGACCGCATGCACGAGGGTGAGACATTCCCAACTTTGGAGCCGCCTCCCTCGGCTACTTTCGACTCGATTCGGCTCATTCTTGGACGAGCGATCATCTCTCGCGGCGTTCTCAAAGAGCGCATGCTTTTTTTATCGACAATTTATCGCGACACATCCAATTTCAAGCGACATTGACTCGCCCGTGTCGGGCTCCGGCGCGACGGCACTCCCGACTACGATTACAGGGGCCTCTCGGAGAGCGAGGGCGCCGGGGCGGCGCCCGAGGCCGAGGCGGCGGCGCGGGACGGCGCGTCGGCGCGGGACGACG